AAAAAAAAACCTTAAAAATTATATCATTTTTATTTTTACACCGTCTGCAACTCATGAACCGTAAATTTTACAGGGAATATGCATAGGACATTTTTTGTTTAAAATTTCATGTAGAATATTTTTGTATATAACACTCTTTGTGCTAAACAGCTTAGTTTTCAACCAATTTCCAAAAAACTAAAAAAACTACTAAATTTCCTACTTTTTCTCCCCCTCCCCCCCAAACCCGACGCTCAAAATGGTGTAACTTTTTACCAAACAATAAGAGGGTTATATAGAACAATTTGGAGTTGGAATAAAACTTTTACTTTGGATGTCAAGGTTAGGCCTTTTTTTAGGTTAATAACACCGTACTAATTGTCAATGTTATTTTCATGCTCATCATGTTTATTTTCGTCCCACCATTTTTTGAAGTACAATTGCTTGTTACAATCGGTGTGATACTTAGCTCCAACATCTACTAAGCTGGGAACATTGGCTACGCGATCTGCAATGCCTTTGCCTCGTCGTCAGAACGTTTGTGGGTACGGTCCATAATGTTTTTTGTACCTTCATCATGTACCTGACAAATCTTCCTTTGTCGGCTTTGACGCAACTGACTCTGATCCTGGAATGCTTCTGCGCAAAATAAAGCAATTGTACACGAAATCGAAACCACTCTTTAGGATTTCTGATACTGAAGATGATGAACAGCTGCTGCTCAGACGACGAACGATATTATCCGTTATTACTATCACTGAATAATGGTAATATGCAATATGTACAGTTATCTCAGAAAAAAATTGTGAAAATTGTTCATTGACCACATCGTTTGTGGCTTGTGTCCACAAAACTCCTAATTGTACCTAACAAACTCAAAATACTTTTCACAATGTTCAATACATCTATGTGGCGGAATATATAGCACAACTGAAAAACTGAGTAGAGGGAAAAGGAACAGTGGTATGTCCTATGACAAATTAGAATAATTTCAGTAATAGCAGGTGGAGTTGATGATGAACAAAACCAAGAAATAGAGGTCACCGACATTTCGGAGGTGACTTACATTACCGAGGTAACGCCGGTTGTTCTTTCTGGAACTGTACAACAGCAAAGAGAAATGAATTGAGTCATTACAATAACGGAAAAAATAGCACAAAAAATGGACCAACAGGAAATCACCACAAATAGGAGACCTAGCCTAGGAGAGGAATCCCAGAATTGGTGAGAATGAAAGGGTGCACATAGATTAGCTAGCCACAATGATCACAACAATGAAATCGTTAGTACACAAAACCACCCTTTCAAACAAAGAGAAAAAATTGGAGATAACAACAAAGAAGAAACTTAAACTCCTACCCAAAGGAACACCGAGACAAGAAAAACAACAAAAATTTCCAGTTAAGAGGAGGTAGATTCAAAGAAAAGTGGGAGAAGAAA